ATTAAAATGGCAAATAATGCAATTTAATCATTAAATAGTAACCAAAAAAAACATGCTTTAATTAATAATTATTTTGATTATTTAACAGATCTCATTTTCATCCATTGAAGTATATGAATTTTTGGATTATGTTTGATAGGCACCAGAACCTTCTTTATTAATAAGTTATGCGCTTATAGCGCTATGTATTTTCTTCATTTATTTTGTTAAAAACTGAGAGTGTAGGTGCGGTTACGTAGACACCACTGTGGTGCAATTATTGGGCTGATTTTTTTTTCATTATCTATTAGTCGATGTAAACTCGAAAAGTTAGAATGTGGGTAATATTTTTAGAACAACTAGCAAATTTGTATTGCGATAATCTTGTATAGTTTTCAAAGAAGACGATTTTTTCTGAACTAGCGAATATTCCTACAGGGTCTCTGGTATACATACATATAATAACATTCCCACACAGTGGCAAAGAGGCAATTGTGATAAATTAGTAATGCAGTTCATTGAATGCAACAGCGGAAAATATAACTATGATGGAATGATATACCTACATACATACATATGTACATATTTGTGTCCATATATTTTGTGAAAACAATAAGTAGATAATAAAAAATCTAAAAAAAGTATGTAGTATATTGATTTCGTGATTGTTTTGTGCACTACTCCTACAGAAGCAACGAAAATGTTTACAAAAAAATTGAAAACAAACGAGCAACTGTGAAAATCGCAGCGGCAATTAACGAATCATTGACACATTTTACGAGTTTTTTTCTCTTTTTTTATCATTTGTATGTATTTTACGCATTTATAGTTTTACTTTAAAGTGGCTATTTTTCGCTACAATTGCTTTCATTTGCATCACATAGTACAATAGGTAGTGTAAAAGTTACTGAACTCAGCTGATGGCCACAGAACGAATGGGGCCACTTGCGAATAAAGCGGATATCTAAGTACATACATATGTACATAGGCAACCTATATACAGTATTGGCCAATACAATAGCACCCCCATTTCAAAGTGATATTGTTTGCCACTCATGTTTATTTATTTATTTTTAGGAGTTTTCAATTATACTACAGTTCATTCTCTAACAAAACGCATATAAACCCATGTTTAAAACTTTGCAGAAGATTACAAAAAAATTAAAAAAATTTCAATAAACCCATGTTTAAAACTTTGCAGAAGAATACAAAAAAATTGAAAAATTTTCACACAAATTTCAAACTTTTTTTCAGAAGTTTTAAGATTTTTTTGAGCACACAGTTCTATAGCCCACTCAATTTTAGTTTAACAATGTGCAAGTTTCATGTGGCTAAAAGTTACTGTTGGTTGTCTAGATTTTATTGCATTTTTTTTAGTTGTTGTTGTTGTTGTAGCGGCTACAACAATTTTTTTAGTCCCTTACAAAGTTGTAAACTTGGGTTTATATGGATTTTGTTAGAGAATGAGCTGTATTTCGATTGGCAAACAACATCACTTTGAAATGGGGGTGCTATAGATATGACCAATACTGTACATATACATACATATGTATGCACAGATACACGAGTATACATATATTATACTACCCACTTGTGGTGACGGTTGATATGTTTTGGCATGGGTTACTAAAACGGTGATGGGGAGTAAACACGTGAGGCACTAGCATAATGGATGGACATTCTGAAGGGACTCATCAACTGATTGAGTGCAAACGGTTGCCAGCGGATCATTATGAACGGTCAAAGCACGAGTACTTGAACTACTTGATTTTTAGAATTTTATATGTACAGTGGTAAACAAAATAATAGGTGTGCGACATTAGTACCAGTTTTGAGTATTTTTTCTCTTTGATTTAATATTCATTATTTTTTTATAAAACTATAGTTATTTGTATAATTAAGACAAAGTTTCAACAAATTTACATCAAAATTTTCAAACTTTTTAATCAGAATTAAACAAAAAATGGGTTCTGCCGCTTTACTAGCCATTCAATTTTATCATATAAAGTGCGGGAAATGTTTTGGTGGAAAAAATGCTTAGGAAAAAAATTACTAAAAATCAACCTGAATGTTAAGACAATTAAAATTTGCACATTAGGTAATAAGATATCACAGTAGAATTGGATGGCCTATAAAACTGTATACTAAAAATTTTTTTAAATTTGTATTTACATACTACATAGTCGGTATTATTAAGAACGTATCAGACGTGGCAATGCAGCACGACCAAGTGGAAATATATTTCCGAAATCGATTTGCGCTCTCTCAATTGTAGTCACATCTTGCAACTTTTATTTCTGAAACTGATTTCCGAAATGTGGCAGGACGGTCTTTCTAGCTGTTCACACATCGAAATGAAATTTCGTTTTCTCAATTCGACAGTGAGTTGGGTGGAAGAGTTGGAAATACTGCCACGTCTGACACGCTCTTTAAGGTATGAATGCGATTTTGTTTCTTCGGCCGATGCCTGTTTTACCTTCAATGCGGTATTTAAACGATTTTATGCAGAATACTGATTTCATTTTATACATACATATGTAAGCATTTATGTATGCACATGGGTGTATCCAGCCAAGGACTTTCAGCGCTTTAATATTCCCTAAACACTTTTTCCTACTTTTTATCATTTTAAAACTAAAAACAATCTTGCATTTGTTAAACAATATCAATTCGTTGCCTTAATATAGAAAGGCCCTATCTCACATCGTCGCTGAAATGCACAAAGCCGTAACTAACTAAAATCTTTTATTGCATAAAACGATGTGAGGCCACATAATTCGATCAAATGCATCATAATCAATTAAAACGTAAATTTTCGATTTTTAGTTAGTTACGACTTTTTGTAAATCAGCGACGATGTCAGATAGGGCCTTTCTATATTAAGGCAACGAATTGTGCTATATAATCGAAAAGGCTTAGTAATGTCGGGCTGGATTTTTGCTGCCAGTCGTGGTATTAAAAACTTTGAATAATTTGTTAATCAATCAAGCACCAGCTGATGTGCAGTCTGTCACTTTTAAGTGCTGTGTTGCTAATGATGAACCTCATTCAAATTATAACTTACAACGAAATGGTCGAAATGTAATATTGAATCTTTCTGGACCCTTGGAAAATTTTGAATTGCATAAAATGTCAATATAAATAATCCGTTATCGTAATTTAAAAACGAAAGTTTTTTTACGAATGACTACGTGCTAAAATCTTGCGTAGTTTCTGCTTAAGTAGCCAACTTTACGCTTATTTTTTCACATTTTGCGAGCAAATTGAAAACTTTAAATGCGGTTCTGAAAAATCTCGTTTTTTGGGTTGGGACATTATTCTAAATAAGTTATTTGTAAAAACAAATATTTTTAAAGCAAGCTTTCTAAATATGAACGAAATCGGACCATAAATACTGGTTTAGAAAATATATGGACTTGTGCGCCACCTATCGGTAAATATTTTAATGGAGTTATTCCCTTTCATGTAGTTAATGTATGTACGTTCGAAATACATATCAACCAAATCGGACTATAAATACGGGTTTTTGAAATATCTAGACTTCTGCGCCACCTATCGGCTTAACTCATTTTTCGTATTGCATTGCCATCGGGTTTTGAGCCAACTGTGAAGTTTCAGGCCTCTAGGTCATCGGGAAGTTGGTCAAAAATTGATTGCAAACTTTGCCCCTAACAAACATAAAAATACATACATACAGATCAAGTTAAATAAAAGCTTGTAAAAAGGGCTACATTGCAATAAGGATTATCTGCAGAAGACGGTTACATGAATACATATGTACATGCACTGGTGGCAGAAATAATAGAAACGCCTTATTTATTTAGCTGACGATGTTGTGCATTTTCTTCTATATAAAGTATACATAAAGCATGAACTTCTTATGAAATATTCTGCCTTATCCAGAGTCCGCCCATAGTAAATACATACATGGAAACAAAAAGTGAAAAGTGAACCGGCTCGGGGAAAATGAAACTCATGATAAAGCTAATTAAAATGCGCAAGGCCGTTCGAAAACAAAATTTAAACAAATTAAAAATTAGTTTTCATAAATTTCAATTCATATGTATGTATGAATCATGTGTATGCATACCATCCAAGGTGTATTAAACAAGGTGGTGTTGGGGCGACAGCTGAGTTTTTCGCCGTGGAGGCCATTACGTCAAAATGATGTGTTTGTTGTAACTCATACCAATGACAGTATGGACATCAGCGTATAATTTGTTAGTGTAATTTTTTACTTATATACGGCCAACACCACCTTAAATACGCCTTGATACCATCTATATTTGTGCTTCTTAGCCTAAATGGCATATATGTATATGAAGTTTTATAGCCGAAGGATAACGATAACCCATACCGACTTTTAGTTGAAGTTTTAATTAATAACTTGAATTAATCGTGCATGAAAACTTTGGAAATACGAAAAATCCGATATGTTTCCCATATTATAGCGCATTTCTAGAAAATCGGCATCTTTCAATTTTTAATAGGACGGCAGGATTTCTCCCAAGGATGTCGACAAAATTAATTAAACTAAAATATCCTTTGCAATCTTGATCCTTCAATATCCTTATATATATTAATAGGATTTAAATTAAACTACGTTTCTTCAAAATTTAGCATGTTCCAAAAGGATAATTGAAAACAAAAGTAACAATTAATCTTGTTTCGAATTGTTCTTTTAATTGATACCGATATATCCATATTTTGACTAAACTTTGGAAATATATTATAATTTATGGTCCTTATGGTCGTGCATTTTCATTTATCCTACAAAATTATATTGACCTGAAAATATATATAAATCAAATATTGACTCATTTTCTTACGTGTAATTCTTATTGGAAAATTAAAGGCTCGCGGCGGCACCTCTTGCAATTGTCCTAGAGATGTTAGAGATACATGGGGGATTATTACTATACCAAATGCTTAAATTTCAGTTTTATACCGGTCGCATTGGATTTTTTTTTTTTTTTTTGACGTGACGTCTAGTGTAAGTATAAGCATATTTATGTACTTACTTGGGATCCTGTATGCGAATGGAGACATCGTCCGTTGAACGTTGCTTGGCACGCATAGGCGTTGAAATCACTGTGGAACCATAAACGCGTATTGCCTCGTCTGTCTCCTCTTCGAATGCGTCGTGTATAGAGAAACGTTTCTCTTTACCTTGACGGCCAGAATTGCTATTGTTTTGCATTTTATTTCCACAATTTTTTTGCGATTCGGGTATGGATATATGTACTGAGTAGCTCAGGTGGTGGTGGTGGTTGCTTTTTGACGAGGTTGGTGCAGACGCTAATTAGGCT